TTGAGTCATGAGGTGGGAACGTTACCCCTAGACTACGGAGGCCGCTTACCTCGGCACTATAGTTGGAGGCAGGGTGGGCTCCGGAGCCGGTCTGGACGTTAGGGAGAAGAGAAAATTCTTACCCCTACCGGGACTCGGACTCCGACCCCTGGCCGTCCGCTCGGTCACCAGTAACTACACCGACTGCGCTATCCCATTCTGATAAAACTGGAATTCAAATTACTGCATTTGAGAGTTGAGGTTCTGTCGGCGGTGATTATGAAGAGTTCTGTCCTGTAGGTATAATGCCGTGTAGCTCGTTGGACGTCAACCGACGTTTCGGAGATACACATCGCCGACACCTTCAGATTGAAGAGTAAGCAAAGGAAGAATCCAGTAGCAAACTTGCTGCCTGCCTCATGCTAATTTCTTGCTTAGCTCACTTCTCGCATAGTTGTCCTGTATGGGGAGCTCAGTCTACAGGACGCTCATTATTGTACCCTGAAGATGGAGGCAGCAAATTCCTCCAAAACGTCCGTCAAGATCTACCAAATAACACTGTGCCACATTCTAGAAGTAATGTTAAGTGATTACAAATTGTCTGTTTGCGATCTCCCCAGAAAGGGTGAGCAGAACTGCCCATTGTGTACTAGTTTTTGTGTTGCTAGTTGCTAGTGTTTGAAGTGAATGTTGTGTAACCCTTTAGAGCTCAGTGGCTCTATATAGAATAATTGTAAATAAAAACCAGACCCTTAAGATGGCACACACATGCCGAAACATGTCACCCTAAACAGCAAGTCCATCTGCTGGAGATAGTGTTATTTTGACAGGAATATAACAAATATCTGTACCTGTTCTAACGCACTGAAACTCTGTATTTTTCCCACAGAGTGTATCTGTGTGTTCCGTATGGTTTACACAGTAAACAGCGGTTGTTTCCCTGNAGGGCATAACTGCAGGAGGTGATTTCCTAGTCTTTGTGATCAAAAAAGTTCATATAAACATGTGTCCGATTTTGGACGGTTACGGATTTATGACCGTTTTAAACTCAGAATAGAAGGTAATGATTACTGATAATAAACGGAACAAAATAATAAACCAGCATAATACATGATACATTTAAAGTATGAATGTAAAATTAACTTCGTGAAATTACCTTTAATTTGAATTTATTGGTGCTTAAAGCTGATTTTCGAAAATGCCACCGCCGGCCGCAACACAAGCTGCCTCTCGGTTGTGAACCACGCCGGACATACCAACCCACCACGCCTTAGGTAGCTCTCAAGTGTCGAGATAACGAGAACGCTCTGTCAGTAGCTGGCTAAAAATAGCGACCCGCCAGCTGACAGACGCGGTTCACACGAGGGCGTGTACGGGAATGAAAAAACGGTCATAACTCCGTAACCGTCCAAAATCGGACACATGTTTATATGAACTTTTTTGATCACAAAGACTAGGAAATCACCTCCTGCAGTTATGCCCTAAAGTCATGAAACACTCTGTATACTGTATTCTGCACATAATGTATCTGTGTGTTCCGTATGGTTCTCACAATAAACGACTGTTTCCCTAAACAGCATTAACCGGTTGGGCTTGTAACCCTTCTGGGGAGTCTTGAATCTGAGACAGTAAAATGTGGTCATGGGTCCCACGAGTCTCGAACCTGAGAATAACTGCGCCGACGAGGACCAGCAGGAATTGTAAACGATAGACCAATCCTCTCGTCAGAGAGGATGTTACATAAGGACTATAACAGCAAGTGTACAGTTGGAAAATAAAACTACTGGTCGTGAGTTTCGAGGGGCTTGTCGCCAAGGCGAGCTGATTTGCGGTAAATCGCCAGTCGCAAAGTAACCCTGACTCTGACTTTTGTCATGAGTATATCATGTGAGACAGGGACTGACTTTGAGATATTATTTGTATGGAGTTCTTGCTTCGAAGAGTTAACTTGATGTCAGTGGATCTAGCAATCTTTCAGTAGCAGGAGACATAAACGTGACGTCAGGTTGGGTAGTCACAGAGGTTAGAGTCTTGCAGGAAGCACCGTTGACTAGCAAAAGAAAAGAAAATACTTGGATTCAGCATGTAGATCAGAATTCTGGGCACAGAAAAGAAAAACATACGGACTCAGAAACAATGCATAAACTGTGACATGAAATAACACGGGGATTCAGAAGTTAATTGCATTGAAAATAAAAGATAAGATGTATACAAAGGGAGCTCGTCTTACGAAGCAGCAATAGATATTAGCCATAGTCAAATTAAAGAAATTGAAAATCCAAACTGTGACCCAAGGTGTACTTTTATGCCATTCATGATAATTGCACATCATTTCAAAGTACATAAACAGTTGAAACATCGCCGTGAATAATGTATGAAATCAATCAAACCCAAGGACTTCATTCGCCTTACATTAGAACAGGTTTTCTTGCCTACGGCGCATGTCCAGTCTGTGGGCAATTCTTCTATTGTTGTGCGAATAGCCATTTTGTTTGTGGAAGTGACCTTGTAGTGACCCTCTTCAGCTTAATGTCGTTTTTAAAATGGACGGACCGTAATGAATTTACATCGCTATATATGCTTAAACTACGAAGTTAAATATTATAAAATAGTAAGTACAACATCTTTCCATATCGAGCTTGAGCATAAATAGAGCCTTTTCCATTTGCAGTGCAGATGCATGCCAGAGTTTCATTGCGCCAGCAACATGAACGCACTGTAGTGCTGTTCATTTATGTACGAAGATTGTGTGGTACGGTACAAAGTATGGTCTGTTTTGAAACTTTTAACAGTCTTTGCCGGACCACAAATAAAACTGTAACAGCATGAGGGGTAGTTTATAAGTACCCTCTCATATGAGTAAAATTATAGTGTTGGGCCATGGACACTAACCATTAGAGCAGAGTGGTTAGTATGCGGACCTCTTGCTCTAACATTAAACAGCGGATGTTGTTTTCTTTGTTTGTTTCGTGGTCGTTACCCAGTAACGGGCGTACACGCTACAATATGTATTATCTCGATAGTTGCCTGTAGGAACTGAGGAAACCATGAGTCAGATCAGAACATCATGACGCAAACGCAGATCTGAAGCAGGTGCCTTTTGAATACGAGTCTATAAAACATTCGGATGAAGCACACGTTAAGTCAGAGACTGGTGGGAAAAGGTAAAGTTGTCCCTGTGCTTAATTAATTGAGCACTACACCTTAAGGCGTAGGAGGGAGTGGACGTATAGGTCCACGTTTTCTTGGTCTCAGCAACAGTTGGAGGTGAGTGGTCAGCTTCACCACCCGGCTGCTTTTACCCCCGGCGAAAGAGCCCCCCGTTACCCATTATATAGGTTGGGTGGACCCCAGAGCCGGTCTAGATGAGATGGAGAAATGAAGGTACTTAACCCTACCAGGACTCGATCTCCGAACCCTCGGCCGTCCAGCTCGTAGCCAGGCGCTATCCCGGCACCCAGGATCGGTAGCGTTGTTAACTGCCGATGGTCACAGGGCGCCCGCCCCCCAGTACCCATACAGCATGGACTGGACCATAAGGCAGGACTGGAAGGTGTCACATTACAGGTCCTTGACGCGGCTTGCACTGCAGAAGCCACTAGTGCGCAACTGAACCTTCAAAAGGCTGCTCAGTCGGTATAGCGACGG